GGGATAAATAGGACGCGATTGCATCTCGTGCTCTCTCGCTAGGGAAACGGCTCTCTTTACCGCATGACTCTGTGTGTTCAGTCAGCCTAGCCATAAGGTATTCCACTTACTTTGTATTCCGCTCTCTTTCCCTGGGTTGTTTCCTATTCCTTTCCCCTTTTGTAAATAAACCCGTTATTGACCCTTTTGTGTGTACCTACAGTGTAAATGAATATTGAGCACACGGGTGAGGCCCCACAGACAGGTGGCCCAGTCCTCTCTGGGCTACCCTGTAACAAAGCGATTCAAGAAAGGCATGGCAAGAAGGAGCAAGACTCTGATCTGCACCGGTCCCAAAGACACTGGAAAGAAATCCATCTTCCCTGTTCAATCCTGTAAGCAAGTATGCTGTTGACGGTGAAGATGAAAATGAGGGTGGTTACACTGAATAGACGTCGTATCCTATGCTTTCTCCCAGTTTTTCTCCACCCCGACACATTCAAGAACAAATCAAGCCCCTATCCAGACAAGATAAAATAAAACTCACTGGGGGAAAAATGGTGGATGAGGCAAAACAGTAGGTGAAGAGAACAGGAAGGAAGAAAAAGTGTTGGAATTTTATAATCACAGGCATCGGATTCCCACGCGCGGAGAGGGCTGACATAATGGGGTAGGACTGCCTGCTGTCACCAGAGGGCAGCAGAGGCCAGGGAATAGGTGGAGGTGAGGTCCAAATAATGTAATCTCACAGAGATCATGTAGAGATAAAACTAACATTTACTGGGTCTTGTTAGGAGTTGGGCACCGTAAGGGCTTATGTGTGATAAGAAGTCGTATGAAATTCAAAGGCAGAGATCAGAGGCTGAAGCCAAAGGAGATGTGGAACAGAGCTGAGGTAAGAGGGTAGTTGCAGCCAGGAAACGCCGAAGACAGCATGTCTGGAACTACAAGTGTAATGCCAGGTATGATGTCATGGCTGTGGGCCTGTTCTCTGTCAGCTTGGTGATTGCTAGAAAATCAGGTGAGATAAACTACTAGATCATTCTGAGTCAGTCAACCTGCATATCTACTTTACATTTCAGTTGTCTTTTGCCTAAGCAAATAGGAAATTTGTGTGTGTGTGTGTGTGTCTTCTCCTACTGCAGAATTTTACTTTTTAAAGCTTTATCTATGCAGGCCCTCCCTGGTGGCACAATGGGCTAGAATGCAGCACTGCAAGCTGGCCACAGCCGCTTCAGTGAGAGTTCGATTTCCAGCCCCTGAGGTGATCCACATGGCACAGCAGACTTCTCCTGACCTGCCCACTGCTCCCCTCAGCAGTGTACTTTGTGGATCTGTCTGTTCTGCTCCACTCTGTCTCTGGTGAATCCTCTCACTCCCCACACCTCTGGCTTGTACCCCAGTTCTGTATGCATAAATAAATACATCTTTAAAAAATATTTATGCATACAAAAACTGGGGTACAAGCCAGAGGTGTGGGGAGTGAGAGGATTCACCAGAGACAGAGTGGGGAGCAGAGCAGGCACATGTTCTGAAATATGCTGCTGAACAGAGCAGCGGGTAGAACAGGAGAGGTCTGCTGTGTCTTGTGGGTCAACTCCCTGGCTGTGGATTGAACTTGTGCGTGCTGCAGTTGCTGGTGAGAGTTTCAGAGTGCTGTGCTTTAACGTATTGTGCCACCAGCGAGGGCCCAGAAATATTTTTTTCAAAATTTATCTAAACATACAAGAACTGGAAGTGTAGGCCAGAGGTGTGGGATATAAGAGGATTCACCAAAGACAGAGTAGGAAGCAGGAAAGGCAGATTTACTGAAAAACACTGCTGAGGGGAGCAGCCGGTGAGACAGGAGAGGTCTACCTCGCCATGTGGGTCACCTCCCTGGCCGGGGATCAAAATCATTTCGCAGTGGCTGGTGAGAGCTTGATAGCACTGAGCCTTTAAGCGCTACGCTCCAGGAAGGCCCTCCTACTGCAGAAATAAATACGAACACGTGTCCTAAGTTCAGGCTTTTGCCATCAAGCCAGATATATTGGTATTTTGGTATTGTGCCATGCTTCCTTTAGCATCTAATCTTTGAATCTTATGTTTCTTGCAGTTGATACACTTTCCCTACTTTTCCAGCTGTCACTAAGTAGGGACTGCACTGTGAGTGCCCACTGGCTTGAGGTTCAGGGCCTTACGGCACTTCCTGTGTTTTTTTTCCCTTCTGTAAGAGGGGCGGTGCACTCTCTCTTCCAAAGGCACTGTGGACATTTCTATACCCCTGGAAATTCAATGTCAGCCCAGGATTCTGGGGGACTCTATTCAATGTTCACTGAGTGGGTCTTTTCATTAACAGGTTAGCTTGGTTTTGTGGGGTTTTATTCCCTAATATTTCCCTCCCCTAAGTCTTCCCGTTACCATACTAAAAACTCACTTAGATTTTTGCATGTCTTAACTAATTTTGTTTCACTCTTTTTTCCCTTTTTTTAAAGATTAATGTGCTGGCCCTCCCTGGTGGTGCAGCGGGTTAAAGCATAGCACTAAGAAGCTAAAGCCACTTCCACATGAGTTCGATCCCCGCCTGCACCGGAGGTGACCACATGGTGTGGCAGACCTCTCCTGACCCGCCCGCTGCTCCCCTCAGCAGTGGACTTCGTCGATCTGCCTGTTCTGTTCCCCACTCTGTCTCTGGTGAAGCCTCTCGCCACCCCTGAGCCTCTGGCCTGTTCTGTACACATAAAT